CAGCCTCTAAGCCCCGGACTCCGCCTCGGCCCGTGGATCCGTCGGCTCCACCATGGCTCCAAGCTCCCTCCTCTCCACCGTGGCCCGGCAGTCCACTAGCTCCGCCGGGCTCCCTCGTCCCTCCAGCTCCGCCTTGGTCTGGCGTCGACCATACTGCGCCTCGGGACTCCACTCCTCGGGGTGTGCCTCGTCCCTTCGTCCCTCCGGCTCTGTCAGGCTCCTTCATCCCTTCGGCTCCTCCTCAGTCCTCTATCGCTCCGGCTCCACCGTGGCCTTTCGGATCCCCGCCTCCGCGTCAGTCGCTGGTGCCATCTGCTCCGCCTTGGCCCTCCGGATCCTCCCCATCGCCCTGGCTCATCGGCTCTCCGTCTCCGCCTCAGGCTCCTCCACCACCTGCCCCGCCGCCATTGGTCGGCCCCCTGGAGTCGGTGGCCATTCCTCCTCCATGGCTCCTCCCTCCGTCGGCTCCACCGTGGGCCGCCATTATGGCTGTGGCCTGGGTCCTGCTGTGCTCCTCCTGTCTCCTCCCTGGCTCCTCCCTCCTTCGTCGTCTCCCTGGTCTCTGTCTGCCGGCCCCCTCCCGGGTTCCCGTCCTCCTCCCGAGCCTCCTCCTTAGTTCCCACCCGTTCCCCCCCTCTGTTGTTCCACGTTGCGTGGACGCGCCTTCCGGCAGGGGGGTGATATGTCAGGATTATGGACTGGTTTTTGTTGTGTTTTCCCTCCCATTGTGTTCCGTGTCCCAGTTAATTGACTGATTCCATGCACCTGTGTTCCCCTGATTGCCCTGTGTTTAAAAGTCCCAGTCTGTTCAGTTTGTATTTGTCGGGTCTTGAACGTCATCCTTGTGTTCTGTGTCTCCATGTTGGATTATTAAAGACTCTCGTTTTGTGAAATCTCCACGTCTCCTCATTTCCTCGTTCCCTTGCTCCAGCGTATCGTGACAATACACATGCATTAATTTTATATAAATTACTAATACTAAATATCACTCTTATTCCTTATTTTTATTTTAAAATTCATTATGTTTTAATATTTTGTGTTAATTTAATGTTTCAGTTCTATTTAATATTTGATTTTCTTCTTTAACAATTTTTAATTTTTTTTTTATTATGGAAGTTTGGTCAAATTTAAGCCATTTCACAACAAATACATAAATATTAAGATGGACTGATTGTTTTTTTTATTGATTGATTTTTTTATAAAATTAATTTTTGATATTTTGCACAGACTTAACGGCAGCTCAAAAGATCAAGCCACCATGAAAGCTCCCATAAATCTCAAACAAAACAAAATATCTCAAAAACAGGACTATAGATATCAGCGCATACATGGCATCGAATAAAAAAGCCAGAGCTGCACACCAAACTATAGCTTTTAATGGCGAAAAAGTCTGTTATTTGCTATACTCAATATATTCTTTTAACTGACACATGGAGAATATGATCTCTGTTAAACAGTGTAGTAGTGGAAAGAGTAAATCTTATAAACCAATGAAAAAGGCAATGTGAAATGAAAAAAAAAACAGCAATGTGTGTGTAGGTCATGAAAGGCCAGTGGGAAACCAGGACAAGTCTCTGGTGCATCATTCAATAAAACAGAACCTCCTCTGTTATTCCAATAAAATGAATTATCATTTTGAAACTCTATTTTATGTACCCACACGCGCACACACCCTAGATCTCTGCTGAGCGTGCAGCTGCGGTGATGTAAGCGATTAGGCGATTAAATGATATCATCGCAACAGTCGTGTGAAATCCCCTCTGTTGTTTTTCTGGATTGTCTCTGTCAAGACCAAACTGGTTTTCCAAGACTTTGGCATCCCATCCTAATTACTCAAATCAGCAGGAAAAAAAGCATGTCTGGGTCAGCTTGTGGTATGTGTGTGTGTGTGCGTGCAAGTGTGTTTATGCCATTACAATCATCTCAATTTGAAGCCAATCAATGACATTTAAGTCCTATTACTGCTGCATTTATTTTCAAATAAAAAATGATGTGCGGTGCTATATGATATCATGTCTGCATGTGTGATCATCGGAATGAATAGTTAAAGTAGCTATTACAGGTTGGAGTGAGCAGTCAGTGAGCTTTCCAACTCTTTGCTCTTGCACGGACTATATATCTCAAAAGAAAGGCCACCATATGCAACTCAACCGAGCCTGACATCTTTTGTTTCAGCCTGCAACAAAGTTTCCATTTGGTGTCTGTGCAACAATTTATGGCCACCCATAACATCAGCTTTGGAGGTCTGAATGTCTGTTTGACTAACTCAAAGTAGCTGTTCGACAGAAAACAGCAAAATAGGATTCATTCCTCCATGCAGATGCTTTCTAACTCTATTGTACTTTTTTGTACAGTTTTAACCTTTTGAGAAGGTCTGAGAAGTTTGGTTCCTCCAAGGTTTCTGGTGGGAAAAAAAACAATCCTGTTTTGATGAGGTCAAGAAGTGGTTTTGTGAACTTTTAAATCAACTGGTCAGGCAAAGAGACCATATAGACTAGCTTAAGGCCAGCTGGCTCTATTGCACTTCTCTGTAAAGTTTTAGTACAACTCATGAAAAGGTCTGAGAAGGTTGGTTCCTCCCAAGGTTTCTGGTTGAAAAAAAATTAAAATGCTGTAGTCTCCTAACCTGTTTTGGTGGTTCTAGAGAGGTTTTGGGTACTTTTAAATCAGCTGGTTGATTAACTGGCAGTTACACCAGCTTAAGACAAGCTTAGCCAGGCTTGAAGACCAGATAAACCAGCCTTAAACCATACTGATGCTTTCTAGCTCTATTACTGTAAAGCTTGAATTACTATAACTCATGAGAAGGTCATAAAAGGTTGGTTCCTCTCAAGGTTTCTGGAGGGGAAAATAAAATAAATAAATAAATACAATGCTATTGTCTGGTCTCAGAGCCTGTTTTGGTGGCTTTAGAGAAGTTTTGGTTTACTATTAAATCAGCCGGTCAGGCCAGGAGACCAGCACCATTTTATAACCAATCTGGCAGCGCTAGAAGACCAGATAAACCAGTTTAAACCAGCTTATGCTAGTAAACCATGCCACTGACTGAACCATAAAACAACTACATGATGTAAGTTAGTCTACAGCCATCAATGACAGCAAAAGCTGCAACTGAATATAGCACATCACCACAGCCTGAGCCTGCAGATATGCCATATTTGGGGTGAGAACATCTGCTGTCAAATACAACACCCATTTAGTGGTATAAATAGACTGGATTACATGAACCACAGAGAGTTCCTAACAGCTGTAGATCTCCTGCAGCTCATCTCTCCAATACTCTTCTTCTCTGGTCTACAGGAAGCTTTGTATTCAGCCTAATAACAGGCTTCTGTAAACTGGCCACTCATTATCAGCTGAAGCAGTAAATATATAGCCTATGACATTCCTCCATGCTGAGGTGTAAACATCACCTACACACCGCAGCCTCCCTAAGAAAGCATTGACTGATGCAGGATGAAGAGAAAACTTTATTTGGTGAAGAAAATAACAGTGCTTGCAAGACAGCAATAGAAGTTTTAGGTAAGCTTAGGTTTTATGCTTTGGTTTTACACAAATTAAATGGCATTTGTTGTCGTGTCACTCAACACACGACTTCTTGTGCGTGAGTGCGAAGGAGTTAGATAGTTAGAAGTTGATAGATATAAGGGACAGTGACAGATAAAGAAATCTGAGACAATAAAGCAGAAGACATTTCAAAATCTAGAAGAAAATGCAGTTTCACACATTTTTGAAACACTTTTATATACCATTTTCAACAAATTTTGATTCAATGGCATGTGATATAACTATCAAGTAAAAAGTAATAAACATTTTTAGTAATTTTGAACAGTTCATAAATAATAATAATAATAAAAGTAATAATAGTATAATTTCATATACATTTCAAGGTAATAAACCATGTTTACAAATATAACAGTTTTAATATTATAATATTCCTTAAGAATCCTGAACATCATTGTTTTCTTGTTATTCTACCATTTAACAGCTGACCACCTGAAATAAGATTATCATATTATTAAAAAGGTCCAAATATTTCATATTTTAAAAGCTCTACTGACCTTGACAAATAGTTATCTTTCATCTTGATAATACCACATTGATTTTGTAGAGAACAAATTTGCTATCTCTATATATCCATCTATCCATCTATCTATCTATGTTACTTATTTTTCAAGAAATAATAAGCACTTCGGCTTTATAATAAATTGTTTTCTTTCTTATCAACAGTTATACCAGCTAGACATTTTTTTTTACTTTAGGCCACACACAGAATAAGAATTTTAATTTAAAAACTAAAAACATGTACACCATAAAAGAGGTGCATTCAAGTGATTGAATATACTAGATGGAGTCATGTTAAATGAAGAAGAAGCATGTTTGAATAATATCAACAGTGCTATTTTGCAAGCACTGTAATAATGTGTAAATGTCTAAGAGAGAGAAGAGAATAAACTAGGGTTTATACTACTATAAGCATTTACTCATGACTATTTATTGTGCAGTCCTGTGTGTATGAGGTCAAACTGTGATCAAACTCATTCATTATAATCAAAAATTCCACGTGAGCACAAATGCACATGCACTGGGAATGAAACAGACATAAACACTCTCAAGAAACACTTCATAGTCTGTTTTATTAACTGTAACAGCAGGAGTGACCAGAGACTGGTTGCAAACTGCATCATTGCTCTTCCTTTACTATTTATTTAACATACAGAAGCACAAAACTTTTTCATGCACTGATTAACCTACTACTAGAAACACAGAGACAGGCACTGCTGGCATTACTTTTGTCCAAAAATGGGCACAACGCACAGGTGTGTCAGACTGGAAAATGTCAACATTAACTTATATGGACCCCCTGAACATCCCAACTAACACTGCAGTTTGAGATAGGTGAAGCATGAAGACATTAAACATGATGACACATGCAATGAGCCAAACCGGAGTCAAACTATAGTATCCTCGTTTCCTACGTAGCCTACCCATGATCCTACCTTGTGACTGCCCTTCTCTTGACCGCTCGAGATTTTCACTTTAATGTTCTCAAAGCCGGTAGATCACATCACATCACATCGCTGCGCTACGCCTCCAAACTTCGCAAACGCTCTCAAATGTGGCTCCTCCAAAACTTTCATTCTCCGTCGCGCCGTCTTTTAGAGCTCCCAGTCTTGTGCTAAACTCAGCAGACGTTGCAGCGGATCTCCATTCAGTAAATTCATCCTTTATTCCTTTAAAGAGCCGAGTGCTGGGGTCAGATTGAAGAAGAAGCATGTTTGAATAATATCAACAGTGCTATTTTGCAAGCACTGTAATAATGTGTAAATGTCTAAGAGAGAGAAGAGAATAAACTAGGGTTTATACTACTATAAGCATTTACTCATGACTATTTATTGTGCAGTCCTGTGTGTATGAGGTCAAACTGTGATCAAACTCATTCATTATAATCAAAAATTCCACGTGAGCACAAATGCACATGCACTGGGAATGAAACAGACATAAACACTCTCAAGAAACACTTCATAGTCTGTTTTATTAACTGTAACAGCAGGAGTGACCAGAGACTGGTTGCAAACTGCATCATTGCTCTTCCTTTACTATTTATTTAACATACAGAAGCACAAAACTTTTTCATGCACTGATTAACCTACTACTAGAAACACAGAGACAGGCACTGCTGGCATTACTTTTGTCCAAAAATGGGCACAACGCACAGGTGTGTCAGACTGGAAAATGTCAACATTAACTTATATGGACCCCCTGAACATCCCAACTAACACTGCAGTTTGAGATAGGTGAAGCATGAAGACATTAAACATGATGACACATGCAATGAGCCAAACCGGAGTCAAACTATAGTATCCTCGTTTCCTACGTAGCCTACCCATGATCCTACCTTGTGACTGCCCTTCTCTTGACCGCTCGAGATTTTCACTTTAATGTTCTCAAAGCCGGTAGATCACATCACATCACATCGCTGCGCTACGCCTCCAAACTTCGCAAACGCTCTCAAATGTGGCTCCTCCAAAACTTTCATTCTCCGTCGCGCCGTCTTTTAGAGCTCCCAGTCTTGTTCTAAACTCAGCAGACGTTGCAGCGGATCTCCATTCAGTAAATTCATCCTTTATTCCTTTAAAGAGCCGAGTGCTGGGGTCAGATTACGCCGGGAGCCAAACCCCCTGTCTGCTAGCCATGTCCGATTCGCGAACGAATCGTTCTATTGAATCGAATCATTCAAATGAATCGTTTGCACCCAGAACGATTCGCAATGAGACGAAAACCCAAGCGGACAGTGAGTGAATACATTAGGAAAGAACCTAATATATGACTGATTGAGCTAAATGTAAGCTACTTTGTACTAATAACAGTAATATAACTGGCCATACAAATAAAACGTAGTCTGGCTACTTGATGTTTTTATGAATCATGTCTCACAACAAACTGAACTGGGACCCATGGCAAGTATTAAAACTAAATAAATAAAACAAATAAGTAAAAAGCATTGTGTGTTATATAATGTAGGCCTACTGTATATGCCTGTAATGTGCCAGGCCGGGATGTTAGGGACAGATGACTTAAAAGAACCATTGAATCATTTTGGATCTGGTTCATGTAAATAAATTGTTCAAAAGAACCGATTCGCTGAACAGAATCACTACTCTCTGCGTGTCTTGTGTGTATGCCCTGAACACACAGGAAATTGCATCAGGGGCCACTACTGTCCCACTCTGGAGTGTTCAAAGTTTTCTGACTCACTCCTGTGTAATTTGGTTGAAAAGATTTTGGATAGAACTTTGAGGATGAATCTCACAAAGAAATTGTCATCCCGAATCAGAATAAAAATTAAGAAATTGAAATGAAACCTATTTGTAGTACCATTAACACTGTCTTGCCAACTATCAATACTGTAATGCGAAAACATCCTATTCTCATGCAAAATAGAATTGTATTTTTTTCTTTCAATTTAAAAGGGAAGTATGACCTTGAATAGCCTACTTGTAATTTATAGGCAACTACTTTACTTCCAAATCATTAAAATTATCATTTTACTTCCCAATTTTTATTACAATAATTACACACAAAAAAAGACATCAGTTCTCAAAAATGATGGTTAAGGAACAGAGATTACAGAGACTTCAGCATAATATCTGTGTTATAGTCCTGATATACTATTTTTAAAATAATTGAAAATCCTAGACCAGGACCAAAGGACCAAGATCAAGACCATGAAAATATGATCTTGGGCTCTGTCTCGAGGACCAAGACCAAAGCCATAAAAATATGGTCTTAGACTTAAGGACTAAGACAATGAAAATATGGTCTTGGACTCTGTCTCAAGGCCCAAAACCAAGACAATGAAAATATGGTCATGGATTTGAACTTGAGGACCAAAACCAATACCATAAAAATATGATCTTGGACTCAGACTCAGAACAAGACCAAGAACATGAAAATATCTTGGACTCTGACTTGAAGTTTAGACCCGAAGGACCTGACCAAATGTCGGGAGCATGTGGACTCTGTCTTAACTTGAACTGGACCCTCTTCTGGTCTCAGTCTCGAACAAATAAGCTGGTCCTGACTACAACAGTGGCTAAAGGCCTCACTCACCTTGCCATGCAGTGCCAGCCGAAATGTTCATGCTGCTAAAGTATAGTGTGAAAGTTTGCAGTTATAACGAATCATTACAGGCCAATAAAATGTTTGTAGGAGTGCAATTAGGAAGTTTGTGAGGAGAGTCTGCATGCTTTAATTGGCTTCCTTTAAAAAAAAAAAGAATGAAAGAAAGAAAATAAAATCTACCTCTTGAGCTTTAGCTCCTGAAACACGTTAGAAATTACATCTATTCATGTAGCAGAAACATTTAGCAACATGCAGTGCAGTCAATGTGCAATCAATGTGCTGAATCAAACTTATAACCTCCATTGAAAAACTCTTAATATTATGCTATACAGGAACTCTGGATTCAGGATTTCATCTTTCATTTGTCTGTCAAAAGACTGTGTATCCTGATATTCTGAACACTGGGTTTGTTTCCTCATAAGAAATAATATGGTTACCTACAGTGCAGCTGTATGCCATTATAATGCCATTATCAGCTGTATTACATTTCCAGCATTATTTGTTTCCTCATAAGAAATAATATGGTTACCTACAGTGCAGCTGCATGCCATTATAATGCCATTATCAGCTGTATTACATTTCCAGCATTATGGGTTATTTTCTGTGGGTTATTTTCTGTGGTTTTACAGAGCAACACAGTATATAACTTTGGGCCTGCTGCAGATGTTTGGATTAAAATAAGAGGACAGGATGCTACATCTTTCTCTCTCTGTCCCAATCTCTTTCTCCATGCCTCCAGTGTGTGTGTAAAGCATTTAATGTTGAGGTAATTGTTAACCGCACCCTCTTGTGTACAGTACAAAAACGTGACTGCTCTGTCATGAACCGCTGCAGCCAATGGAGAATTGAAATCATGCTTGCACAGTTACAAACAATTTTTCATTTAATATTTTATTGTCTCTGTAAATTATTGCAATATTTCACAATGAGTGTTAATAGCAAGGTATGTTACTGCATCTGCATGCATTTGATGCACATAAATGTATAAACATACACAAAAACAAATGCATAAATTATAACTTTAGTGACCTCCAAAAGGAAATTCACATAGTCTCATGAACCATCATACAAATATAGCCTAACATGAAATAAGTTTATGGAATGTAAGTGTGTGTGTGTGTGTGTGTATGTGTATTTCAAATACATTCATTACTCTTCCTTTATGTAGCTTATATAGTGTAATTTTCTGAACAGAATGAATGTAACACCATGCATATATATAAAAACCTAAATATTTAAATTATAGCATATATATATATATATATATATATAAACAGATAATGTCCTGGCAGAAAATTACCAGTACATTTTTCCATTAAATTTACTGATGAAATCAGTTCACAATCAGAATCAAAATCAATAAAGAAAATTCCTTCATATTAGCACAGTACATTGGAACATATTTTATGGACTTTTTTATATACTTTAAACCTGGAACATTCCTTAAAACAAATGTGGAAGAGAAAAGAAAAAAAGGAGTGAGAGAGAGAGAGAGAGCTCCACTGCCCTCAGTCAAAACAAACCATGACAACTCAGCATGTAATGATTCACTTGACTGCAGACTACCTGGAAAAAGAGAAAAAAAAATAAAATAAAGTTTGCCGGAGTGAAAATGTTTGTGTGAGCACAAATGTCAGTCTGTCCACGTGCAGGTTATGTATGTGAATTCTGTATTTTAAGTTAAAGTGATTCAGTCAAACACAAGTGGATGCAGCAGTGGACTGACATACCCTCCACTCACATGCTGCTGTCATCAGCTAGCACAGTAACTTTAAAAACCACATAGAGCGAATTCCATTCGAAAGTGAGCATGACTAGGCCCTACTTACTCTGAAAAGCTCTTGAAGTGATGCAGGGCATTTACTGTCTCATATGTAATCATTTGAACACCCAGCAGTAACATTCATGCATGCTTATAGCCAGTGTTGGGGGTAACACATTACAAGTAACGTGAGTTTATTTGCCAAAAATATAACTTTTTTATTTTAAAAACAAACAAGCAAGCTCTGTCCAGATTTAAAAAGTAACACAAAAGTAATGTAATGCATTACTTTCCATAAAAAGTAACTAAGTAACGTAATTAGTTACTTTTTTATGGAGTAACGCAATATTGTAATGCATTACTTTTAAAAGTAACTTTCCCCAACACTGCTTATAGCTGTTAAAATTGTTGCAAGTAAAACTTTTTCATCTAATAATTAAACTGAAATGTATTTTTCTTGGTGATCAAACAACTATGAATATGTAAATACTGTATGTAAGGAACCGAATCCATGATAAGACCAAGACCATCAAAATACAGTCTTGGACTAGAACCCAAGGACTAAGACCACGATCATGAAAATATGATCTTGGACTCTGTATCGAGGACCAAGACCATAGAAAATATGGTCACTGACTCGGATTCAAGGAACAGTACCATGATAATTAGGTTCTTGGACTCGGACTTGAGGACCAAGACCAGAACCATGAAAGTATGATCTTAGACTCGAACTCAAGGACCAAGACCAAAACCATGAAAATATGATCTTGGGCTATGTCT